TTTTCACCCTTTGCTATGCTGAACTGAGTTGTGTTTTTAGTCTACTTTTTGGATGGGTTTGAGGCATCAGTTTTTTGTAGGTACTGTGTTTTGGTTGTCCAGTTTTTGGACTGCAGGTTGATGGGCTTTGACAAGTCATCTTGTGTGCATCTCTTCCCTCCTTTTGCTTATCAGTTTTGGAGTCTTGTATATTTTTTTGTTATGTCCTGCTGTCTATGCCTAAAACCTGAACTCTGCCTACTGCTGCTTTATCTCTCTTTTCTTCCATAGTACAGCTTTGAATATATTATATGATTTATGTTGTACTTTCTCTGAAGGGGCCCTACTGGTGGGAAATGATGATTTTAGATTTTTGCTACTTGCATAACACATTTTCTGCATCTTTTTTGTCTCTTTGGACAGCTTTGACAGTTTTGATAGCAACTTGTACTACTTTGATTTCTTTGATATCTTTGGCATTTGATAGGAAGTGGGAATTGGATTTGAACTAATACAGTTTGAACTTTGGATTTGAAATTGAGATTCTATGCAGTCTTGAATTTTGGAACTTATACTTTTGACATTTGCATTTCATGAATAAAAAATCTTCCCTCTTTGTGAACCGGGAGAAATCCCGTGATTTGCAGAGAGGGTCAACTGATCCCAGTCAGTGGCCTCTAATGATGAGCAATTTTAACTGTCTTTAATTAAACTGCTTTCTGACTTTTTTCTTCTCTTTTTGCAGATAAAAAAGTGGAGCACCGGAGCGGAGTGAAGAATGAAGAATATTAGAAAATAGGATAGTTTTTTTATTTTATGTAATATTTTAAATCAATGTATATTATTGTTCATAATTTAAATTATAAACAACAATTTGTACAAATAATTCAAATATCAATAAAATCCAAATTATCCAATTGGTTCTAATTTTCTTTATTGTTTATTTATTTATTTAAAATTCTTAGAATTAAAACAATTGAAAAATAAATTTCAATCATTCAATTTTTTAGAATAATAAATAACTTGAATAATAACAATATTGGTCAATTAAACTTGTCTTATCCGATATCCAAAACAAAGCAGCAGTTAACCCAAATGGACTGATCAAACGCATGAACACTGTGAATCCAATACTGCATCCTGTATTTGACTGACTCAAAGAAAACAACATGAATTCCAACCACTTGTTTCTTTCACTGATTAAATCAAAACAACGCGACTTTAACCCGAATCACGGAATAAACTGCAAAGTGCTGTGGAATTTAAATTCTTCTGAGAATATGCCCATAAAACTTTAATTCCTGATTAAATGTCGAATAACGCTCGCCTGATCAAAATTGAGCCAAAATCAACCAAAACCCTAAGCCAACTGTATGAAACAATCCAAGGCTCTGAAAATCAGTAAAAAAACCTAATTTCGCTTGACTGTCAAGAAAAGTCCATTTGTCCGATTCTTGAGCCAGTTTGAAAAGTCAGGAACTGTCTGAAGCTGAGATTTCTTGTGGAAAAGCGCGAGGGCAAATTTTGGGGTACAACAGGGACCCTTGGACTTCAACCATCTTGATGAGGAGTGAAACCCTAGTTTGAAGCTTGTTGCCTTAGGAGGAGGATTTGTCTGGTCAATCCTTAGTCATCCTTGAGCAATTGAGGACCTCTAGAGGCATGTCTTGAGTGAAATGAGAGGGCAAATTTTGGAGTACAACAGTTATGTATTGGCTCATATATGTTTTGTATTGGCTCATACTGCTTTCTTTCTCCTGGAAGTTAAAAACAACTCAGTATGAGTCAACACATAAGGGTTTGTATCGACTCATAATGCTTTATATTGACACATGCGTGTTTTGTATCGACTCATACTACTTGATTGCTCTTGTAAGTCAAAAACAACTCACTATAAGATGACACATAAGGGTTTGTATCGACTCATACTGCTTTGTATCGACACATAATCATTTTGTGTCGACTCATAACCTGTTTTGTACATAAAATGTGTCGACTTATAGTGTTTCGTATCGACTCATACTGTTGTTTTTTACTTCTATCATTGTTCTTCTCCATGTAAAAGTCAGTTCTCAACACATGGTTAGTGAAAATGAAAAGCAAGCATATGGTTAGCTTCAAGGCAATGATATCTATATTTTATATTCACAAATGAACCATTAATGATGCTTTTTATGAAGAGTTCAAAGTCAAGAAAACTTACCTTGAAACTGAAATTTGTGCTTTGAGTTTGAGTTGGAGAAGTCAAGTTGCAGGTGGCTGTTTTTGAGTTTTGAAAATAGTGATGTTGCAAAAGTTGTTCTTGAGTTTGGACAACTTCTATATGATGTATGTGGAGTGTTTGAATGGTTTGTTTGTACAGAACTTGCAAGGTGGGAGAGGTTCAAAGGGTTTGGACTTTAAAGCTCAATGATGGAGATTTTTGTGGACAATTCTGGTTTTTAGAGTAAAGGGGGTTTAAGGATTTTCAATACACAAGAAGCTCTCTATTTTTTTCTAACCTCTTTCTTTTGCAAATGCTCCCTCTATTTATAGGTAAGAGGTTTGGGAACAAGAGCTGATTAGGTTTACAAGACAGCATGTTATGGTTTGGTTGGGATGCAAATATCAAACTATGTCAAGTATTCCATGGTCCCAAGATGAAGTAACAAAGTTTATGATATAGATGAGCTATCTTCCATGATTTATGTTGGAGTATAATCAGAAGCAAACAAGGCAGAAGCTCAAGACAAATTTTGTACCAAAAACTTGCATTTCAAGAATAGCAATGGTGCCTTTATGCCATAAATGGAAAGATCTTTTGGACAATGGCTCAAACACTTGGGTAATAGCTCAAGAGTAGGTGTAAGCATTAAATTATGATGATATTGGCAAGTTAGAAGTCCTGCAATACAAGATTATGCAACATATTATAAATATTTTGTTATGTGTTCTTCAACAAAAGGACTTGCAATTCAAGGATGGATGGCTAACTTCATGCCCTTGAATCTCCTAGCTCAAGTATGATAAATTCATGCTCTTGGATATTTTGGAAAGCTTGAAACATCCTCTATAACTTTCATATTGGACATTTTGACAAAATCATCTTGGAACTATGTGAAAAAATACCAAGAAGTTGGGATAAAATCCTGACCAAAATCTGTTGAAAATTTCTCTAAGTGCTAGATGAAAATGTCATGTCTTCATGGGCTTATATCTTCAAATCTAATCATTTTTTGGACATCAACCATTTAATACAAAGTTATAGAATTCATCAAGATCTACAACTTTCATGTTGAAAGTTTCCTTTGAATCATTTTGCATCATGGTGAAAAATTAGTATGAAGTTATGAAATAAACATGTGTAAAACACTTAGAAAAATTTCTAAGTCTTGAAAAGTTTGACTTTTCAAATTGACTTTTGACTTTTTGATGATCAAGCTTGATATTCTTGAATGTCTTGATGAATTTTGATCTTTGAGACTTAATATTGACCAAGAAGTCAAAGTTTAACTTTTGGTGTATCATTTGACTTTTCATCAATACAGCTGATTTTTGGTCATCTGGTCAATTGACTGAGCAGAATTTGTGATACAAGACTTGAAACTTGACATGAGCATTCTTGAAGGTCCATAATGATCTATGAAAGTCATTTGAAGTATTAGAAGTCCAATTGTCCTTGTGCAAGCTCAAACCCTAATTTTGAAGTATCAGTGTTAAGGAGATGGCTTGACCTAGTCAATACTTGTGCAAGCTTGAGCTTTTGAAGATCTCTGTAAGAAATGTTTTGAGAAAAGAGAGTGCAAATTTCGGGGTACAACAGTGGTCCACGTGCCCACATCACTGCCATCTTAACTGCCCTCAGAAAATCACGGGTCCAACCCCTATTCTCACGGAGCAGTTGACCAGGGAGGAGTCCACTTGTCGGACTCCACACACACGTAAGCCCTGACAGTCTTTATTATTGGGCCTCAACGTGGCCCAACAGTGGAGACCTTGGCCCAACGCCGAGGGCTATAAATACCCTCTCATTCGAGAGGACCATGTATTCATTCTCATTCTCATATTCACACTTGCTTGCACTCTCTGGAGTTTATTTTGGCATCAGAGTGTCTTGCAGGTACCCCCCATCTCGCTTTCAACCTTAGTTCGACGTAAGGCTCTGACGATCCATTTTGATCAGATACCATCACAATCATATTTTTTTATTAATTAAAAAATAAATTTATAATATATTTGTCTTTCATAATCACAATCACTCATTATACTAATTTTAAAAAATTAAATTAATTTTTTTTCTTTTTATTGATTATTTTTAATAATAAAGATATACGTTGTTAAAAAAACAATAAAAATTAAGATTTGTTTTTATGCAAGTTTTTCTTCACAAACATAATAATTAGTTTGACAAATAATTAATCACATTTTTTATTAATTAATAAACAAAAATATAATATTTTTTCCTTTATGTTCGTAACCACCCATGATTCTAATTTAAAAAAAAAAAATTAAATTAATTAATTTTTTTTCTTTTTATTGATTGTTTTTAACAATATGCAAGTTTTTTCTCAACCAACAAGCACACACGTGTGATTAAATTATAAAATCATTGCTCCAAATTCAAATTCAGTACTCACTCACAGTTTCTTGTTATCTCCGAAGACCCTGTCACTCCTTCATCATCATTCTATTTTCTTCCATCCAATTCAGTTCTCAAATAACACACAGGTTCTCTCTTTCATCTATATAACTTTTTTCATTATGGGTTATTTTATTCACGTTGAAGTCAACCTTAAACTCTAGGTGTTTGTTAAAAGTCAAAGTTTGTTTATTTTTTGTGCAGTTTGGGTTGATCTGTAAAACCGATCAAGATTTTCCTTTCTTTTCTAATTAATCGTTCGATTAATACATATTTGGCATCTTAGTTTTCCTTGTGTGTAGCTGTTGCATTGTAACAAGACATTGTTGATTTGTGATTTGGAGATTATATATATTTCACTCTCTTGAAAAGGTAATTAATTGATTATTGGAATTCACTTACGATGCCGAAGAGGCGCGAAGCCGCGCCAGTAGCATCGGAAGGTTCGAACAGTGTAGATGCAAGTGAAAAAATTCGAACCAATGTTGGTGTTGGAAGCCCAAGGAGGTCTTCCATTACATGGCTGGCCTTGTTCTTTGTCATTGCTTATTCATGTTCAGCTATTTATCAGTACCAGTTTCAGAATATGCCTCTGCCTCTTACAGCAGAACAGGCTGGAAAGAGGGGTTTCTCTGAGGTTGAAGCATTCGGCCATGTTAAGGCTTTGACTCAGGTTGGCCCTCATCCTGTTGGTTCTGAAGCTCTGCATCAAGCCGTGCAGGTTGGATTCTCTACTTTGTTGATTTTTACTTTCGATAGTTTTGTTGTATTCTTTATGATACTAAGTTGTTTTTCATGTTGACTATGACAAGTTTGTGTAGGATCTTATCGTATATTATGTATGAGGACAAGGTTGATGAATTTATTAAGTGTTATAGATGTTTTGGCTTTTAACTGATCCCTTGAAGCATAGTGCAAGGATATTGATAATTTAGATGACTAGCTCTAGGCTCATATTGCATGTATTATGTGTATAAATAGGAAACTAATTTGTGGATCTTGTCTATTTGTCATCTAATAACTAAATGTTTTAGGAATCTTTATTAATTTGATAAAAGAATAAAGTCTTTGTTACATGTTTTGTTTGAGCGGAAAAATTTAGTGTCTTAAGGTTGGGAAAAATTGAAAACAATATAGTTTTATCTACACCTTCTGGGTTGTTACATGGATAATAAAGGGCTAAATCTCGGTTCTGTCCATTGAAAGTTGAGTTATGTCGGGGGCTGCCATGTAACTGCTTCATACCTTTTAAGTTATCTGATATTTGATATGCTTATAACATGTCATTTCAAATGAGATGTATTTATTTTCATTATATAAGTTACTCAGTTTGTTCAGTGATCAATGAGAGTAGCAGAAATTTATCCAACTAATTGTGGCTGTTTCTTAGTCCGTTGTTTGTTAATATGTACTATCTTAATCTGCTTCCAACTGCAGTATGTTTTGACAGCATGCGAAACTATTAAAAAAACAGCGCATTGGGAGGTGGATGTTGAAGTGGATTTTTTTCATGTAGAATCTGGTGCAAATCGTCAAGTAAGTGGCTTATTCGCGGGGAGATCACTTGTTTATTCAGATCTGGACCATATCGTATTGAGAATCTTGCCAAAATATCTATCTGAAGCAAGAGAAGAAACCATCCTTGTCTCATCTCACATTGATACTGTTTTTTCAACGTATGTTTTCTTCATCTATTTGCTCTCATCTTTCTGCTTTAGAGAGTCACTTTTGTCTTTGTTTCTAACATGAAGTTTATAAATTTCTGGGATGCATTTCACATGAATAATATACATGTATATAATCTTGTGTGTTTGTTTGTGTGAAATGTCCTCACTTTAGTTGCTCTAAACAGAGCAGCATTCAATTTCTGATTAGTTAATAGCACTGTGTTATTTGTTGCTGAACATATTGCATTAATTCTACAGTGAAGGGGCTGGAGATTGCAGTTCATGTGTAGGTGTTATGCTTGAACTTGCTCGTGGAATTTCTCAATGGGCTCATGGATTGAAGAAAGGTGTTATATTCTTATTTAATACTGGTGAGGAGGAGGGTCTTAATGGTGCTCATAGCTTCATAACCCAGGTATGGAATTACTTGGTAATGCATCGTTTTGTAGGTTTCATATTTGGTTCTCAGCCATTTGAAAGACATGAATCTTTCTACTGATTATAATACTGATGTTGAGATTGGAACACATCTAAATCATAAAGTTTAAATTAGTTAACCACAAGGAATAAGTCTTTAACACGTTTTAAAAATGCACATGGCAATAACAATTTCAAAGCAAGTCTTTTAATTTGGAGGATTTCCTCTCCTCACAAATGTATTTTTTATTCCTTTGTTGATTGCTCGCTATTGGGAAAATCAAAATACCCAAGTTGCAATTCTCAACACTTAATAGTATTTTTATTTCTTGAAAAGAAACTTCTAGTTGTTGACATGTTAATAATCTACATCACTCATTCATATAACATTAGTGTAGGAAGCCCAAAATAAAGCACAATGATGCATGAAAGCTATTATTTTTTCACTATGTATAAGTGTGAGATGTTCTCTCAAGATGTTATAAATTATATTTTATTGATAATCCAGCTGTTCTAAATGTTAGAGTGATTTTCTTATCAGTATGTGAAACACAAATACTATGTAAAAATTCTTATCGCACCATTTTTTTAATGCAGCACCCTTGGAGTAAAACTGTTCGTATGGCTATTGATCTAGAGGCCATGGGAATTGGAGGGAAGTCTAGTATTTTTCAGGTGTGTAAACTGTAGTTTGTCCAACAACTAGTCATTTTGATTTTACCAATGAATTTTTTGTCCCTCCATTGATAATACATCTAGTTGTTAATGGCGGTCAAGGTCAATCATGTCTTACTTTCAATCTTGATTGCCTTGCCTTCCAAAAGGAGGCGAAAATGTGTATTTAACCTTAAAAATTATTGATCAATCTTCATCCACTGAGACTTGGAAATCAAATTGTTTTAGTTATTTGACTTCCAAAACTTATCATTTCGAGAGTTCTCTGAAATCAGTTAAATTCTGACAATAATTTTGTTCCACTTGCATCTAGTAGGCTGGTCCTCATCCAGGGGCTATTGAAAGCTTTGCTTCAGTAGCAAAATACCCATCTGGTCAAACTGTTTCACAGGTTTGCAGGTTTCCTTCATTACTCTTTTGCTCTTTAGCAAATATTATTTTCAAATTTTTTGAATTTACACTCAAATTAACCAAGATTCATGCCGCAGGATCTTTTTACTTCGGGGGTCATAAAATCGGCAACAGATTTCCAAGTGTACAAAGAGGTTGCTGGTCTCTCTGGGCTTGATTTTGCGTATGTAGATAATACTGCTGTATATCATACCAAGGTTTCCTTCTCTCCTTACTGTCGTATGAAATATTTAGGTTTTCTTTTTGTTCAATATTCTATTGCAAATCACGAAATTCATAGCGTGTTGGTTGAAAAGATTTTGCTAGGAAACTCGTATGAAAACTCTCCATGCAATAATAGATGTTTAATGTGGTTGAACTGGATTTGAAGCAATTCTGTATGGTTGTCGTTTCCCTTAAGTTCAGTTTTATTTATTTGGATCTTCTAGAGAAGTCACTGGGCCATCAAGTGAAGATTATACATTTAATTGTGATCTGTATTGCACATTTTGTTGTCATAACATATTATTTGCATTGAAAGATGAATTATTTTTTTTTTGTAATTAATGAAATACAATATGTTGGAAGTTGGATATTATTTACTTGCATGTTCTTTTAATAGACCTCTTTGATCTAAGGAAAACATGTTTATTGTTTGCTACTTCTGACTGCAGTCGGATAGAACATATTCTTTTAGAAATTTGCAAGTATAGTTTACTAAGATTGCAGAAACTAAGCCCAATGCTTAAGTAAGTCGTTGGGTAAATATAGTAACACTAACTTTTTATCAGGTAAAGAGGAAAATGATAAGAAAAAGTAATGCATTGATAGGTGAATGTACATTGTGTCTTGTTGATTAAGGTATTACAAATAATGGGTACTAAGATGGTTCAAGTTAGTGTAAATTATTAGCCAAGTACATTTAGGACTGACAATAATACCTTAGACAACAATGTATTAACTATTGAAGTATTGATTGCAAATTGCAATTTTGAATGACATAAGGTAGTAGTGAAAAGTTGTCTTTGAAGAAAGAAAAAAATTTATTAACATATTTTCATATCTAACGACTGCAATAAAATGTTACCTTTTTCCTAATGCAGAATGACAAATTAGAGCTTTTAAAGAAAGGATCTCTTCAACATCTCGGGGAGAACATGCTTGCTTTCCTACTTCATATTGGTGCATCTTCTCATTTTCCAGAAGACAGCTTAACAGAGTCAAAGGAAGATATGAGCAACAACAAAGCCATATATTTTGATATTTTGGTAACTCTTGGTTATACCGACCATATGCCATTTTTGTGCTTTATTTTGTATGCCTGCCATGTATTAGTTTCCCATCTGATAGGTGTGGTTATAGATTACTATGCTGCTTTCATATCATTAGGCTCTAACATATGGTAACTGTATGATATTTTCAGGGAACATATATGGTTGTATACCGTCAAAAGTTTGCTAATTTGCTTCACAATTCAGTGATAATGCAATCACTTTTAATATGGGTTACATCATTGTTTATGGGTGGTATACCAGCTGCAGTTTCATTGGCCTTGTCATGTTTGAGTGTTCTCCTCACGTGGCTGTTTTCCTTAGGTTTCTCTGTTCCTGTTGCCTTTCTTCTACCTTTGATATCTTCATCACCAGTGCCATATGTTTCTAGCCCGTGGTTGGTGGTTGGGTTATTTGGTGCACCAGCTATTTTGGGAGCATTGACTGGTCAACATTTGGGTTATCTTCTATTTCAAAAATTTCTTTTGAATGTGCATTCTAAGAGAGGGCAATTTCCTCCCATTATTCAGGCTGAACTGGTCAAGCTGGAGGCTGAAAGATGGCTCTATAAAGCTGGATCCTTTCAGTGGCTTATCCTTCTCATTTTGGGAAACTATTTTAAAATTGGGTCTTCATACTTGGCTCTTGTTTGGTTAGTTTCTCCGGCATTTGCATGTAACTATCACTGCCTCATCTTTGTCCTTGTTAGAACTACTTTTATTACCTGCTGCTAAACTTCGGTTGAAATTTCCAGATGGATTTTTTGAGGCAACGCTAGCCCCAACCAGGTTACCAAAGCCACTCAAACTAGCAACCCTTGTTCTAGGGTTAGCCACACCAATTTTAATTTCTGCTGGAATTTTTATTCGGCTTGGTGCTACAATCATAGGGGGTATGGTTCGACTCGATAGGTAAATCTGTGTGTGTGTGTGTTATTACCTAGTAAAAAAAAGTTCTGGAAATGCTCAACGTTTTATTAAGTTTACCATACCTCATGCCACCTTTTAATATGTTGATTCTCTTGTTTAGTTTAAAATTTGTGTTTTGATATTAATTTCATACTATTTTTAGTTGTATTACAAATGTGTTGTAACCGCGTATTGGTGTGATAGTGCTTGTGTCCTACGTCGTATTCATGTTTTTTGTTAGGTTTTGTCCCTATTACCATGCTATTATTATAACTATAGCCTTCTTTTCTTTCTTCACTTGGCATCCAATATGAAGCACGGACACCTCTAGGAATAGGCGTGTCGCAATGTCTGACACACGTGGGGTTCAACACTTGTATGACACTCGTAGAACCCATCTCAGAAAAGTCAAACAAGTGTCTCCCAGAAAAATGGTTTTTTTCTTTGATTCGACACTCTTTGAATCAGTGTCTTACACTCGCACAACATATGTCGGACAATTTAGACAAGTGTTTCCTAAAAAATGTTTTTTTTTTTGCTTCAACTCGCCTTATACATTTCTTGAACAAATCTCACAAATCTAAAAGGGTTAAACATTTATTGAAGCAACATTATCAATGAAGAATTAAAAACATTAATTTTGATTAGAGTATTTTTACCTCTTTAAATAATAGATGAATAAATGAAACTCAAATATTATCGTAACTGTAGCTGTGTCAGTGTCCTATATTTTTTATATTATCGACGTGTGTCGTGTCCCATTGTTCGTGTTGCTTCATATCATCACCACTTTGACTCAATTGCATTCACATCCATTTTCTCACTTAAATTTAATTTCTAAGTATAGTTGGCATGGAATTGACACTTGTATACTGTGCAGGAATCCTGGTAGTACTCCTGAGTGGCTGGGAAATGTTGTGATAGCTGCATATATCGCTGCTCTCTTGTCTTTGACCTTGGTGTATCTTCTTTCTTATGTCCATCTTTCAGGTTTGTTTACTGTATAGCTCATACGCAAGTAACATTCAAAATTCAAAATCTTATTATTGTGAAATGGGGTGTGTTTATTTCATGTTGTCACTTTATGAGTTTATGAACAATTTGTAACTTGATTTCTAGGTGCGAAAAGGACCATCACCCTAGCTACTTTGGTGCTGTTTAGTTTATCTCTTGCAGTTGTGTATTCTGGTGTTGTTCCCCCATTTTCTGAAGACACGGCCAGAGCTGTGAATGTAAGTTTCCATTTTTTCTTTGTTTCTTCCTCCCTCCTAACCAAATCATATAATTTCAACAATTATCTTTTTTTTGGCCGAATTTCAACAATTATTTAACATGAACAAGCATAATAAAACAAATTACTTTTGTGTACTTTCAGGTCGTACATGTTGTGGATGCAACAGGAAAACTTGATGAAAGACATACTCCTGTATCATATGTTTCTTTATTTTCCACCACTCCTGGAAATTTGAATAAGGAGGTAGAACAGATTAATGAAAGTTTTGTATGTGGTAAAGACAAACCTGTGGATTTTGTTACTTTCTCGGTTAAATATGGATGTCGGACATATAATGACATTACCGGTGGTTGGAGTGAGGCTGATGTTCCCACAATACATGTCGAAAATGATGCTAAAGAAAATGGCAGAATTACACAGGTTTCAATCAACACAAAGGATTCTATTCGGTGGGTTCTTGCGATCAATACCGAAGAAATAGAAGATTTCAAGCTTACAGGTACTATTACATGCTCTTGTTAACAATAATATTTGTAGTTTGTGTATGTGAATGTGTGCACGGCCTTATTGTCGTTCATTGAACCACAGATACTGTGAATTCTGAAGAATTGATACCGGTGGACAAAAAGAGCGGTTTGGATGGTTGGCACATAATTCAGTTTTCTGGAGGAAAGAATGCACCAAGAGTATTTGATTTGACGCTTTACTGGAGATCAGGTTCAACACAAAGCACTGATCATGGTTTTCTCTTGAAACTTAGGACTGATGTGAACAGATTAACCCCGATAACTGAACGGATTCTCGAAAAGCTTCCTCGTTGGTGTTCTTTGTTTGGCAAGTCTACCTCTCCCCATACCTTGGCTTTTCTTAGAAATCTTCCTATTAACTTTTAAGTGTATCCTTCAATTATAGGTGTTATATGGCCAAAACAGAAACATGTTAACTTAATTTTGTGCAATCATATCATAGGGTTTCTGATTCTTTGTAGTATACAATTTTTGTCATATTTATTATAAAAGGCAACAGCATTTTATTTTGAATAATGATGTTGTTTATTACCGTTTTTTCTGTACAATGTTAGTGTAATGAACGATTTACTGCAGTGTTAAGTTTGGTTTGTGTGTTCAAATTAAGTTAGTGAAAAATATTTGAAAATATCATATCAGTTCAACTCACATAAACAGTTTGGTTTTTACCTATACTTTTATTTGGATTTTATTTTTTGAACTTGACTATTTAATTGCAAAAGCTTAGTACACGAAATGTAAGAATAACATACAAAATCTCTTTGAAAGAGATGGGAAGTATCTAGCAACCGCTTGCCAGAAAATATTTATCAACTAACAATAAATTAAATTACATTATTCTTTTATATTAAAATTAGGTGGAAAAAAAAAAGTCGAATCACGTCGAATTCGTCATAATTCAGCTCAACTCAATAAAAATTTATTAAGTTTAAAATTCACTTCGAGTTTGACCCAATTTTTTTTTAAATTCAAACTCAATTCGTTATACCAAGCATCGTCATAAGAACATCATAGTCGTTTTTCACATATTTTCAATAACGAGTTACTCCATTTTAGTTAGACATCGTAACTTGTCTATCAGTTCTCCTTATTTGTCAGAAATTTTTCCATCTAATCAGCGGATCAAGTGCCTTTGAAATTGTTCGAAGGTCTGTGTGTTCTAAAGTTTGATCTTTATTGGAGACTTTGTTGACGAAAAAATATGTTGAGCATCTCTTTTGACCAATGAAAATATTAGAGGGGTGCTGGAAGACATATTTAACAGTGGAGATGAATTATTGTATTTATAGAAAATCTAAAACAATTGAGTATTCGCACCGAATGACATGACCTCTTTAATAAGTACATGCATGTCCCACACACCATGTCATGACAGAGGAACATACCCCTGTGGTATGGTACCTCCTCATAAAAATACATGCATGTACCACACATAGTGGCTACATCTTTGTGTGGTGATTTTTTTTGTTTGAAAAGTAATTAGTTTGAAAAATTATTTGAAATAGTGGTCGTTTGAGAATTTTTTTTGAAAAAAATGATTTTTTGAAAAAAATTCTAAAAATATATTATACTTTTAGTTAAGATAAACTTAAATATTTTTTAATTAATAATTAATTTTACTCACTATTTTATATTAGAATAAACTTCAAACAACCAGAAATCATTTTTCTTTTATTTCTTTCGAATATCCATGATAATTAATTATAAAAATTTGTTATTAATTTAAATATTTTTTAATTTATATAATTTTAAAATTATTTTATAAATTTTAATAATTTGTTCAAAATTTTAAACTTTTAATGAAATCCAATCATTTTTTTACTTTATCATGCAGTGTTTGAAAGCTTGTAATGCGATGTTAACAATATTGTGAATTAAAAATAAATAAAAAGCAATTATGTGAGTTATTTAATTTACTTGTTATTTAAGTAATTAACTAAAAAAAACACTTTTCTTTTTTCTCCTTCCCTTTTAAATCCAAACCTAAATGTAACGATGTAGATCTTCATGATGGAGTGCGACGCTTCTTAGGTCTTTCCGCCGTTTCACCTTTTTTGGGGTTGGCTGTCGCCGGCATTGCGCTGGTGGTCTCGTTTTCACGGATCTTCCACTTGTTTTTTTTCCAGTTAGTTTGTTTTTTTATTTTTGAAACTCTGGGAGAAGATTTATTCGCAAAGTTTTTCAGCAGTGTTGTTTTGGTTTTTCGGTGGTCGCTCCTCCTGCGCAGCTGGTCGATTCGGTGTGACTTTGTTGTAGTTTTAATCTGCCCAAAATTTGCCCTATAGATTTCACATTTTACTTAGCTTTCACATTCATTTGCATTAGAATCACAATCATTCATATCATTGGTTCCTAAAAGTATAGGATCACAACCTCCTTATAATTAGGATTTTTGAGAAGGAGAAACTCATCTCTCAGGAGATTAGATCATTATCATGATCAGTGTTTTAAAAATCAGATTCGACATCAAACCAGTGAGAGTACAGGATCACTGGTTTATTGGTCGAACCATTTGATCAATGGGTCGAACCGTAGGACTAAACTGGATTAAATCGAATAACTCAGATGAATAAACCGGTCGTTATAACAAAACTATATAGATATAAAATTTATCAAACCGGGGGACTCAGTCTCTAAAAAATATAATTAGTACTTAAATTTTTTGAAAATATAATATCATAAATCAATTCACAAGTTCATAATTTAAATTCAAATTTTAAACATAGATATCACATATAACAATATAGTACAAAATTACAAAGTCTAATTGCAACATAATCTAATTGAACAATTTATAATAAAATAACTTCATTCTATTGTCTACTAAATTTAGTTTCAAAGAGAAAAAATTGTTTCAATGTTGAGATCTCCTTAAATATCAAAACCATCTGCAACAAAATCAGCCGAATCTGCAACATCTTCCTCGTCAATGATATCATTACTTTATTTAATTTTTTATTTAATTTTTTTAATTAAAATAGTCAAAACGACATCATTTTGGTTTTTTAAAATTAAAAAAATAAAATAAAAAAGCAATTAAACCACCGGTTTAGGAAAATCGTCAGTTTTTCCGATTTTAGCTTTTAAGGTTCAATGACATATCTGATCCAGCAATTGAACCAAACTGATTACCTGGTCGGTTCCTAGTTTAACCGGTCTGACCGACCTGTCCGATTTTTAAAACACTGATCATGATCATTTCTATCAAATTATAAGGATCATCATTTCCTTCGAGTCTTCCTCAAAGTGTTAGGGTTTCATCATTGGTTCATCAGTTGATTTGAAGTGAACTAGAATTTTGGCATTCATCATGGAAAATCAAGAATTAGGGTTTTGTGGGTTGAGCTTCAAGAGTACCTCATTCAAAGGATCATTGGCAATATCATCTTATGGTCTTCAAAGCATCTCTATTACATCATAATCACAAGTCTTCATTGGTTATAGAGGATTTGAATTCATTTAATGAAAAGTCAATTGCAAAGTCAAAACTTTGACTTTTGAATTTTTTGGTCAACCATGGATTTCTCAAGCTAAATTTCATGAAAATGTGATTAATGTTTTAATTTGGTCAAGAGGAATCACAAAATTTGAGGTAACTTGTAAAAGGGGCAAAGTGGAAAATGTTGGAAATTTCACTAAGAGTCACTAAATTCTCATGTTCAAATACACTACTTTGCAAACTTGTAACTTCTTCATCAACCCACCATTTTTCATGCCCAAAACATAAAATTGAAGATAATCTTTTATACTACAACTTTGTCATAGGGAATGATCTCTAAAAAATGCATGAATTATGAATTGATCAAGACGAATGTTCAAAGTTGTCAAAATCTTAACACTTAGAAGAATTCTCTAAGTGTTTGTTCAGTCAAAAACAACAATTATGTGGGGAATTTTTCACCATGATTCGAATTGATTCAAAGAAAGTGGTCAATATGAAAGTCGTAGAGGATGTTTCAAGCTTTCCAAAATGTCCAAGAGTATGAAAATATGATGCTTGAGCTAAGAGAATCGAAGAGATGAGGTTAGACATCCAAAGTTGCATTAGAAGTCCATTTTGTGACAAGTTCATGATCAAATCTCAAAGCCATACCTCGCAATCTTACTTTTCAGGCCACATTACCCTTAAATCTCAACTTGATCAGAAACTTACAAGAAATTTTGGTGTATTACACAAATATTTGAAGCCTTAACCATTTCATAATGCCATTTTGGGATGAAAATGCAAAAAGCTTGATATCCATTTCCATAAAGCCAACTTTAATCACAAAGTTAACTCATTGAGCCTCTAACTTGTTTCTTCTGATTACACACAATGCAAACATCATCAGTCTCAAACCCTTAAGCTTCACTATAAATAGAGGGACATTTCTCATTGCAAAACACACTTGAAACCACCTAAAGAGTTTCTCAAACTCAGAATCACACACAAATCCCTCAAAACTCCATTTTTGAGCTTTGAAGAACCTTATCTTCGAAACTCTCATCCCTTGCAACATCTTTGCAATATAACCATATAATCACCATTAACACATCATATATAAATGACTGTTTGCATTAGATCATCCCTGGAAAATCCCAAACACTCCAACCAACTCACTCATTTTTACCTTGCAATTTGAGTTGGCCAAGACACTTTCAAAGCAAGGTAACCATATCATTGCATTCCTGAAAGTCCAAGGAAGCTGAGAGCATCATTTTGCATCATCAAAAGTGCTTGAAAGAAGGAAGCAGACCTTCACTGCTAGGTACAATTTTCAAACTCGAAACTCTTCACACATGCATCATTAGTGCTTTCTTTCTGAAGATAAAATATAGCATTTGATGTGTTAAAACTAAGCCATATGCTGATTATCATTATTCATGCTTGTGTGAAGATTTCAGCTCGTTTGAAAATATTTTAGGTTTTTTTGTTTGGAGCAAATTGATGAGTGTTAGTGGATATAAATTTGTATTAGTTATATTTTTGAATTTCTTGTGAAATTATGAATAAGTTTCATGTTTACATCTTTAAGTTTGGTTGAGAAATGAGAAAGTTACAAATCACACCATTGATGGTGTCACGAGGTTGAATATGAAGTGGGTGGTGCACAATTTCCATTTTCAAATTTTTGTTTTATAATATATTTATTGATGTGTGTTTAATGAATGGATGGGGCTGTTACACCGCTGGTCAGGAGTTTGTGTGTGAAGTGAAGGGTCCGGGGTTCGAATTATCCTCGCCCCAGACATTTTTGTGTTATTTTTTTACTTTTTATTTGACAACTTGATTCAAATATAATTAATTATGTCTTTGTGTTTGTTATCATCATGCAAGCAATGGTCCAGTTAGATAGTTTTTTAACTTTCAAACATGAGGGCGTGGG